AGGTGGGGGAAGGGAGAGAGAGAAACTCCTCCAGCCGCTCCCTCTGCCTGGCTGAAGATCTCTCTCCCCCCCCGCCCCCCAACCAGGATCCCCTTGCCATGGAGATGAGGAGAAGGACACTTGGGCCAGGCCCCACCTTCATTCTAGACCCCTGTCCCCATCCCCCATCTTCCACCAGCCCCTGGGCTGGGCTCCCTCACTGACCTGGAGCTGTTCCCTGCAGGGGGAGTGTCCCTGGGGGCTGGTAACTCCTTCCCTCCCCGAATCCCCCAGGGCGCTTGGCTCTGGGGGATCAAACATTAAAGGACCAGGGCGATGGGCTGTGGGGAGGACACTGGGGATTGAATGGTTGGGGCTGGTGGAGCAGGGGGAAGCTGGGTGCTGGGGTATCGAGTGTTTGGGGATCATGGTATAAGAGGCGAGGGAGAGCACAGGGATAGAGAGGTGCTGCCTCATCACTCACCCCCTCTGCCCCTTCTCCCTGCCCACTCTGCATTGAGACAGCATCTCTGAGAGGGAGTGATTCCCACAGGGCCCTTTGTGGGAGGTCTGGAGATCCCACTTCTGTTTCCGCAGCATCAGCCTCTGAGTGTGTCTATGGTAGGAAACGTGGTCAGGATTAGCCAGCACAACTCTGTGACTCTGCACCAGATTTCCTAGTGTAAACTCTCCTTGAGGATCTTATGTGTAAGGCTAAGATTTTGTCATGGATATTTTTAGTAAAGGTCATGAACAGGTCACAGGCAATAAAGAAAAATTCACAGAAGCCTGTGACCTGTCCATGACTTTTACTATTCATATCCGTGACAAAATGGGGAGGGAGAAGGCTCCAGCACCTATCGCTGCCAGGGCTCTGGGGTCCCATGTTGGGTGGGGAGGTGCGGGGGCTCTGGCTGGGGTCTCAGAGGGCCTCCCCCCTCCCCGCTGTCTGCAGCTCGGTGCTCCGGAGGTGCCCCGCAACCCATGGCTATGGGGGGGCCCAAGCTGCCTGCAGTTACTCAGACCTCTGGGAGCCACCCATTGGGGCCAGGAGCTGTGGGGTAACCCCATGGCTTGCAGCAGGTCAGAGCTCCGGGGGGCAGCTCTCGGCTGCCATGGGTGGCAGGGGGACCCCACAGCTCCGAGCCGCCACGGGCAGAAGTCACGGAGGTCTCTGGAAGTCACAGATTGCCTGAGTTCCGCGACCTCCATAATAAAATCGTACCCTTACTTGTCTGTTCTGATCCCCTCCCATTCGCAGAATGATTGTTAATCCCTGAGTTCCCCCGTTGGGGCCGGATTGTCTCATTCCCAGATAGTCTCACATTACACCAGGCCATGCTGAAAAGCATGTAGTGTTTGTACATTTTCTCCCATACGCACAAGAATTAACTACATGCTAAAAAAATGGGGAGCAGGGACAATAAAATGTGGTGTTTTAGCTTCTGTGCTATTTCAGGGCAATGGGGTGAGTCTCAGGGATTCCCTCCTTCCCCCATCACTGTCATGCTCCACTCTCGACACAGCAGCCTCTGTCCAAGCGATAAGAGAGTTTTATCCTGTCCCCGTTCTACCCCTCCTCTTCCTAAGGTGTCACTTTACCACCGTGTCCCTGGCTCTCCATGCTTAGGAATCACAGTTTTGATGTCTATGATCAGAGGGCTGGAGAAGAAAGTGTCACAGACCTAGGAGTGGGTGGGGAAATCCCATTGAACCTAAAGCACAGTTTGACCTTTCAGATCTTGTAGCCCTGTTTCCATGGATTGGTAAAATTGCTTCCCGGCTTTTTCTAGGCTAGTCCAGATCATTTGTAGATGGGAAGATTTGTCTTTCTTTCTTTCTTTAATTGTATTGATGCTAAAACTTTTGCAACTAATACAACCAAATAATGAGGCGAGAAGTGAAGCCAGTTTAGCCATTTCAGAAGAAAATGGGTAAATTTATTTTCCTGATTTTGAGTCTTGAGATTGATGATTCTCTGGGATTTCACTTTATGAACATGAAAGTGTTTTATAGCCCACCCTGGATTGTGGGTTTTTCTCTCTTTGTGAAGGCCGTTTGGTCTCATACTTTGGTATTGGTTTAGTTTGACAGGATGGAGGTCAGATTCATTGAGGCCTTCACAAGACAAATGATCGTTTGCCAGAATAGTCCTTTTTCAGATTTTATTTTGATCTTTATCTAACCCTTTGTCATGAAATTTTTTTGTATCCTTTGAACAATGACCGTGATCAATATCTCTCAGGACAAACAGTGATGGTGCGAGATACATTCACAGTGTGCGAGCCCGAGACTGAAAGAGGGAATGAAGTTAGTGCCTGATCCCTGAAGTGATGTGAGATACCGTTTGGAGGGGGAGAAGATGGGGGGAACAGAGCTGGGAAACTCCTCCTTCAGAACTGCTCCTCAGAGCTAGACGGCAGAGGCTGAGAACTGTGAACTTGCTGCACCAGTGCCAGAGAGAAACTTGAATTGGATTGTGAGTGTCATGTGAAGCTGCCCCTGAAATCTAAAGGACCATGAATGACGCCCCAAAAAATGACAGGGGGAGGGGCAGCATTTCCCTATTGCTGAGATGCCGAGGTTGGGCGCAGGCAAGAAGAGAGCCAGGAATGTCAACAGACCTGGGCAGCCTTGAAACCAGACCAACGCCCAGCATTGAGGCCAGAGGGAGATGGGGAACCTGACAGTCCAGCTGCTCACTGTGACACTGCATCCCATATTCTTCACAGAGATACTATTATGATATGATTATAGCATAACTATGATATATTTTATACAAGATAGGTCATGTGAAAGATCATTGAAAAGGTTATGATTTACTGAGTATGATCATCCTATTTGTATGCATCTATCATTTTTGTATCTGAAGTTAGGAATATTGGCTATGCATCTATATTAGAAATGTGTTTACACTTGGGGAATGCCCACTAGGCAAAAGATTGTCAATAGGACTGTCAAGCGATTTAAAAAATTAATCACAATTAATCATGCGATTAAACAAATTAATTGCAATGAATTGCAAGATTAACAAAATTAATCACGTGATTAATCGAACTGTTCAACAATTATAGAATACCATTTATTTATATATTTTTGGATGTTTTCTACATTTTCAAATATATTGATTTCAATTACAACACAGAATACAAAGTGTACAATGCTCACTTCATATTTATTTTTATTACAAGTATTTGCACTATAAAAAAACAAAAGAAATCGTGTTTTTCAATTCACCTAATACAAATACTATAGTGCACTCTCTTTATCATGAAAGTTGAACTTACAAACATAGTATTATGTAGAAAAAAAATGCATTCAAAAATAAAACTGTAAAATTTTAGACCCTGCAAGTCCACTCAGTCCTACTTCACGTTCAGCCAATCACTCAGATGAACAAATTTGTTTACATTTGCAGGAGATAATGCTGCCCGCTTCTTGTTTACAGTGTCACCTGAAAGTGAGAACAGGCGTTCTCATGGCACTGGTGTAGCCACTGTCGCAAGATATTTATGTGCCAGATGTGCTAAAGATTCATATGTCCCTTCATGCCTCAACCACCGTTACAGAAGACATGCGTCCATGCTGATGACGGGTTCTGCTCGATAACGATCCAAAGCAGTGTGGACCGATGCATGTTCATTTTCATTATCTGAGTCAGATATCACCAGCAGAAGGTTGATTTCCTCTTGGTGGTTCGGGTTCTGTAGTTTCCACATCGGAGTGTTGCTCTTTCACGACTTCTGAAAGCATGCGCCGCACCTCGTCAGATTTTGGAAGGCACTTCGGATTGTTAAACCTTGGGTCGAGTGCTGTAGCTATCTTTAGAAATCTCACATTGGTACCTTCTTTGCGTTTTATCAAATCTACAGTGAAAGTGTTCTTAAAACAAACAACATGTGCTGGGTCATCATCCGAGACTGCTATAACATGAAATACATGGCAAAATGTGGATAAAACAGAGCAGGAGACATACTATTCTGCCCCAAAGAGTTCAATCAAAAATGTAATTAACATTTTTTTTTAATGAGCATCATCAGCATGGATGCATGTCCTCTGGAATGGTGGCTGAAGCATGAAGGGGCATATGAATGTTTAGCATATCTGGCACTTAAATACCTGGCATTGCTGGCTACAAAAGTGCCATGTGAACTGCTGTTCTCACTTTCAGGTGACATTGTAAATAAGAAGCCAGCAGCATTATCTCCTGTAAATGTAAACAAGCTTGTTCGTCTGAGCGATTGGCTGAACAAGTAGGACTGAGTGGACTTGTAGGCTCTAAAGTTTACACTGTTTTGTTTTTTAGTGTGGTTATGTAACAAAAAGAATCTACATTTGTAAGTTGCACTTTCACAATAAAGAGAATGAATTTCAGTACTTGTTGAAGTGAATTGAAAAATACTATTTCTTTTGTTTATCATTTTTACACTGCAAATAGTTGGAATAAAAATAATATACAATTTGATTTCAATTACAACACAGGATAGAATATATATGAAAATGTAGAAAAACATCAAAAATATTTAATGCATTTCAATTGGTACTCTATTGTTTAACAGAGCAATTAAAACTGATTAATCGTGATTAATTTTTTTGAGTTAATCATGTGAGTTAACTGCAATTAATCGACAGCTCTAATGATCAGTCTAAATGGCTGGCTGGGAAGGGCCATTAGGGAGAACAATAGATTTTAAAAGAAGCTAATCTCCCACCAGGAAGCCTTCCTGAAGACCCTACAAACAGTCTGGAGTCATGGCTGTTGTGACACTGCACGGTCATGTGACTAGATCACCTGGTACTGGACTCCATCTTGGAAAACCAGTGCTTTTCCACTGAAGGGCGTGGGGACCAAGCTTGGAGACAGAGAGTTCCAATCACAAAAAGCTATTTAAGGCAGAGGAGAGACATCATCATGGTTCTTCACTGACTCCCCGCCCAAAGGAGACTCTGGGAAACACCTGAGGAAAAAGGACTGAACTGGGGGGAAGTGCTGAAGC